AGGCCTGCAACTTATGGTCTAAACAGTCAAAAAGTACGGTCTCTTTGAGGCTGCAGATGAATAAGTTGGGAAAAAGGTTTATGCCTAAACCTTAATAATTATCTGACAGGGTTTTATCTTACGTCTATCCCTTGATAGGGTAGTCCGCCTACCTATAAGGTGGGATGTTCAAATGAATTGAGAGTGGAGCACCGACCCTCCAAAAGTTTCAAAAGGCGGTCTGCTCTGGATGTGCCCTTCATATGAAAGGGTTGCTCCTACTTTTTCCGAAGTAGGAGTTAGCCCAATAGGTAATATGTCGGACTCGCATGCAGTAAACACTGAGATCAACTCTGACTTTTCCCTACCCATGCTAGCTTCTTTTTCGAGCAGTCTGTGTGGCTGGAGAAGTAACTCACAACTATGATATAAAAATAAATAAGTTATTTTTTCTGTAAAAATTTAACAGTACCTTAGTAATTATTTTATATCTCGTATTTGTCGGGATTAATCTCGCACCTTTTTTTAAAACCACCAGCTCCTCACATGTTCTAAGGCCCTCTCTGACACAAATGCATACAGACCCATACAGTAGACCAATTCAACCACCACATTAACACATAAAAACGTAAAAAGTATTGGTGGTTTAAAGGACCAAGACCTTACCCTATTGAGATGGGTACCCATTTAGTACAGAGGCAGGCGCCCAACATTTTGAAAGGAATCCGTTTCAGAAGTGAGGTGGATTGTAAACCGGTTTTACCAATAGCTTGTTAGGAGAGTCACTCTTGCTCCCATTGGAACAAAAACTACCTCATTAGGTAACACATTGAACTATCGAAGGATAGGTACCATGATCAAGTCTGATAATACCCCATATGGGCTAACTTCTTTTAGTTTGATCGTAGGCAGAGAGAGAGAGGGAGAGAGAGAGAGGAATCAAAAGTTAAAAAAAACTCATATTTTTCACTTTGTGCCAATAATGTTTTTATGGTCGAAATGATTTTATTTCATACAACAAAATCTTTCTATAAATAGGCGGGCACCTAGCCCACATGTGTAATTTGTTGCAGAATATTTTGTCAAACGAATGTTTTACTAAAAATTGGCAAAGATGAGGAATTTTTTGCACCCCCTTTCAGCCAGTCAAGACTTCAACTCGTGAGTGTCACAAGTTGCTTGTTCCCCTCTCAACCTCAGTACTTAGCTGAAGACTGTTAGAACGGGTGCCAAACAAGCAAAACGCAACCACTAGCTGCCAAAAAACTTAGGTGCAGTCATTTGGCTGCTCATTTTTTATATATTGAGAGCAAGATCGTGGTTATTCCTCCTTGGATTGACGCCCAACAAAAGTTATATAAAGCCTTACATCCATAGGGATTAAGCCAGCATCTCATTTTTTAAATGAGAAGTTGTTCTATAACTTAGCTCCAAAGCAAGATGAGACAACTTAGAGCCATCACAATGGGATGCATGGGTTGCAAAATAATAGGTATATATGTACATGAGACGGACTAGGTTTGGGAAAAAGAGTTATGGGTTACAGTATGAGGGGATAACAGCTCGAGCTCCACGATTTCACCGGGGAATGTGACAACTTGAAGTGGCAGCCAGAGAATGAATTTAGAACTTAGCAGCTGGAATAGAGGCAGAAAAAAAACACATATGAACCCATAGCTGAAGTAATATGGATGCCCTCACTTTGTGGCTATATTAGGAAGTGTTGGACCCTAGGCAAAGGCACACTGAAGCAGTGGTTTGGCATCATGATAGCACGAGACTGTGGATGGACAGTGAGCCTTAAACCATCAGTACAGTTGCAACCCGAAACTTGTCGCCACAAGAAAACGAGGTCGAAATGTCAAACACTGCGCCCGCCATTGGTAAATTTGATTAGAGGTCGCGTTTTCATTTTGCGCCTCTAAAATTTGAGGTGTCAGGCTCACGGCCCAGGTGCCCATGTACTGGTGCTTTAAGATGTGGCGCTTGCCTCTCAGGAAGCTGTTAGAGTGTTGGAGATCTCTTGAAGTTGAGAGAGGAGTTGATTGACGAAAATTGTTGGTGGTCTGCAAGGGAGTTGGGGGTGGAGCCAAGGGAGTTGGAAGTGGAGTCAAGGCAACTATAGCCATAGATGGCAGTACCTCGGTGCAACATAGGCTAATGTTGTGTCTTTGGACGTCCTTGAGACCGGTGGTGGTGGTGGGCAGTGAGCGCGCGGCAGGCTGCACCCGCAATTTTAAGGGGTGATGCTGCCAACTTTTGGCATGACGACAACGACATTTTCCGTATGGTTATGTTGTAGCAACAACGTTAATTTTTTGGGGGGGTTGCTGCCGGATTACCAACACTTCAGTGGCCAAGCATTTTGTAGGGACATGCTGCCGGCTTGAAGACGCACTTTCGAGGTAGAAACCCTGACAAGGGTATCTACCCGTGTTTTTTATGTCGGATGTTGTCTGACATTTTTTCATTGAATTCGATGACTCGATGAGATTGACGTTCACCAAGAGTTTTGTTTAGACCTAACCTATGATTGAAGAACGCTTGTGGCACCCGAGAATAATGGACGTAACTGGCAGTGCTTTGTTCTTGTTGAGGCCGCAAAGGCGTGTGGACATGGGAATCTCAAAGTTAAACCTATCCTACCTAAAATAATGACACGCGACTGCTAAGACGCGCAATTCAGAACCTAAGTAGACTAAAACGGACAACCGCGCTAGGTATGGGGCCGTGGCATGGGAGGAATAAAAAGTTTTTAGTTGCACGTATAGATATAGGAGAGGTGCAGGTCTAGCTCCCGTAATAGGAGCTAGCCCAGTAGGTTACGATGCCAGATTTTCGCCCAATAGGTACTGGGATCAAGCCCAGACGCACGTGCCACTGGGCTAGCTCCTTTTGGAGCAGCCCGCCATAGTGCAATCGGGCGAGGTCGATTTTGGCCGCACAATCATTGAGATCATGTGGCGGAAATCCACCGCGCCGATCAACATGGTCACTGCGCTACTAAGATGACGCGTATAAATCGTTAAAAAAAACTAAAGCTAAACTGAATGCTACGCAACATATGGCACCTTTTGAAGTGACTGGGGCGCTGACAGCCCCAGTGCACTTGACATGCGCCCATTTTAACGGGCGACCGTTCTGGTGTACGGTGAGTTTTTTTTTCTTTTCTTTGTTGTTTCTGATTTTGTTTGTCTTTTTTTTTTTTTTTGGATTTTCTTTAAGTTATCTTTTGTTAGATTCGTCAAAGATTTTCTTTAGTTAGATTTTTTTTTCTTTATATTCATTATTTCTTTATATTTTTTTATTTTTTATTTTTTTTCGTGATTTTTCTAGGAGAGCCCGTTCGTTTTGACGAACGGGCTGCTGCTGCCCTCCAAGGATGAGCAAAAGCAGATGGATTTGCCGCCACAGGGCAGCTATGTGCAGGGTCTAGATCTTGAGTCATGAGGGACTCTTTGCACAGGCTTTAGTGGTTCAGTTTGTGAGGAAAGGAGCAAGTCGCTTTCTTGTGGTCGAATTAACATTTTTGCAGCTCTGTTCGGGTCTCCTGTCGTTTTATCGAAGGACTCCACGACAGGTCGCCGTCGTTAGTGAAGTTTGCGATTGTTTTATAGATAGATAGATAGATAGATAGATAGATAGATAGATAGATAGATAAATAGATAGATAGATAGATAGATAGATAGATAGATAGATAGAGAGAGAGAGAGAGAGAGA